CATGCAAAGTTCTTTAGATTTTAAATGCATCAAGCAGCAACATTTCAAGTGTCGTTCACCTCAGAAGTCAGACAAGCTTTTGTTTAAGCATGTCTCTGACAAAAGGCTACCTTTCCCCCTCTTTCTGTGTACTGTGGAAGATAATGCGGGTTAAAATGATGTTCTCAGCAATAATTATCTCCATAAGATCCCATCTTTCATTTATGCAAGTCCTTGAGAATGGTGATGAAACAGGTCATGATAAAACTAAGCCTATGGACATGAGTTCTTCATTCAGGCAATACTACAGGTAAACAATGGGCAGAAAGAAGAGGCCTCTCTCTCTCTCTCTACTGTTCTGCTAATACCCTTCTAGCCTCTTCTAGCTAGATATAGAAAAGAAAAAGATGCAGAGAAATGCCTGGTGCAGAATAGGAATGAGCACTCTAGTGCTTGAGATGTTGACAGCATTCAAGCTCATTAATTAATATCAGTCTAGCCCACTGACAAAGGTTAAAAGATCATTTTAACATGCAGCGATATTAGCATGATCATTAGGATGGCATATTTCTGTCTTCCCTAATATAACTCTGTTTTTCAGCTCAATAAAGTGATGGATTGATAGATTGCAATTTTTCAATTACATTTTCGTAAGCAGATGACAGAACTGAACAAATTATCATTTAGAATAATGGTACAGTTATGACGCTTACATTTTTTGCTCTGCAGCATCTGATGCCAAATCCCACTAATGCCAAACTTCTTAGTTTCAGAGTAGTTTTATATTCTTGGGATACTATATAATGATCTCTGGTCTGATTGTTTCAATATGAGGAGATAGGGGTTACTGGATTTAGTAAGCTTAATTTATTAAATAATGGGGAAATTAACCTGTTTGCCAAATTTCGCAGACATTTTTATAAAAGCTTAACCTCACTGATGACTATCTTTTTTAGCTAAAATGTGCTGTTCCAAGGCAGAAGCCACTTTTAAATGCTATCGCAGAATGCATCTTTTGTTCCTAAATCTTATTCTTAACAAGGGCTAAACGATGCCCCTTTTATAACATTTTCAATTCGTAGAGTCCACATGTGGCCACGTACTAGGATTGCCAGACACAGTGTACATTTCAGAAAGCTAAACCTCATAAATCTCCAGAAATTCCTCACATCTATTATGTTTACCTTCTGCTGCTGATGAGCCTGTTGGGCTCTGTACAGAGGAAATTACAAGCGCTCCAGAAGATTTGGCAAGAAGATGCTAGAAGAAACAATGGGCAAAAAAAAAAAAAATTCTTAACTGAAGCATTGCATCCAGTTTTGGCTACCATTTACATATCTGAGATTACAGCTAGAAATATGGAAATTCCATTGAAATGGAATAAATTGTTTTTTAAAATTCCTATCTGATTAGTGCTGGTGATGTCTGAAATTAAACATGTTAAGCTACACTCAATATAATTTATGGAATTCAACTGAAGTCTAACACTTATATTGAAAATCTGTCTGTTTTTACACTTCTCTAATTAAGAACAAAAGGTACTTGTATTCAATCTTTTTTTCCCCATCTCATCCTCTTGCTCATTTCTCTATTAATCTATATTACAAAATGTCTTCCTTTACTTAATAGATGTTTGGAGACTGTTGTAACAGCTGCTAACTGGTAAGGAAATGCCAGCAGAAATATTTTATAGTCACACATTTAAATACAACTGGAAATTTGCTTATAGCTAATGCCAGTTGAAATTCTTGTTTTCTAGGCATATTTTGCATAGTGATAAAAAATTAGTACTTCCAATCCTCCTTCCCCCAACTTAATCCTTTGGGTGGAGCCAAAGGAAATTAAAATTAGTTTTTCTCTTGGAAAGAAATTTAATTTGAAAGTTTTAAAACTGTTTTCTAAATATAAAAACTGCTAACTGTGTTGTGTTCTATTTCATACAAAAATAACTAAATAAACAGCTTTCACTGTGGAGTGCAATTAGAAAAGGGAAACTAAATCAATCCAGAAATTAGGGGTTTGGATCCTACGAAGTGCCAAGTGCCTCTCGAGAGTTGGTGAGCTCCCTCAACTGAGTGCCTTCAACACTGACAAGAGTGGGATTTGAAGGTCCTCAGTACCTTACAAGGGTTAATCCGTACCCTGAAGGCCCAGGTCACAGGTAAGGGATTTTTGGGGGGCTATTGTGGAAATAATTTGCAGAACTAGAAATGATCATTCCCATCTCTGCCCAATGGGCAAAAGTAGCATCTCAACTCATTTGAGAAGGAGAGAAGTGGAGAAATATCTTGAGAACATGTGAACTAAATGATTGTACACTCTCTAAAGCCAAATCAGAAGACAGAATTATCAGTTTTTGCATACTAAACAAAAGAGTGGTCTTTCTCCGGTGTCTTAACCAACTTCATAACCCCACAGTGTTCTTGCCTTTAAATCGTCCAGTATAAATCAATCTGGCTAGTAATGCAGATAAGTTCACTACACTGGTAACCTATTTTACTGCAAAACAAAATATTTACTATAGGAGTGTATAAAGTCACACAGCTTAAAGTAAAACCTATAGCTTTGATACAATTATAACAAAGGATTTTTTTAAGCCAAAGATCTAACCATACCCACGCATTGCTATTGCCAATTATTATAAATAAACCCTTATGTCTTGAGTTTGCCATTATTTCTACTAATTACTGCCTACCATTAATTATACCCTCCAAACAGCATAACATTTTTTCATAACATACACTCTTATCTCT